CAGACCTGACTGTCCAGAGAGGACAGGCTCAGTGACCCCAGCCTGGCCATATACAAATGTATATGTGTATATGTAATTCAATGTTTATTGTTCTCCCTGTAGCTCCTGTAGCCTCACCTGACGAGAGAGAGAGAGAGCTGTGAACAGTTGGGTAAACCACATCAGCCAGTAGCTGTGCTGTTTTGGCAGGAGCAGATGCACATCGGTCACTTTAAACACACACTGAGTACACACGCTCTCCGGGCTGTGTGCCCGCGTTGGCTCTGCCGCGCCAGCCGTGCCGCACCCAGGGGCTCTGCACAGCTGCGCGCCCGCACCCCCTCGCCCCCGGCCCGGGCAGAGCGTCGCCCCGGTGCCCGGCTCGGCCCCCAGGCGGCCACAGTGCACAGCAGCAATCTGTTCGCTGTCAGAGCCCATCTCTTCACACACACCATGTGGGCTCTTTCATCTCTTCTGAAAACTTTCAGCTGCATCCGCTTTAATTTGGCCTTCTTCTGTCCCATCCTCATCCTCTTCTTCTTCTTCATCGGGAGCTTCATCCTCATCTTCACCAGCAGCTGCAGCCTCATCATGATCATCATCTTCATCGCCGTGTTCTTCATCAAGCGCTTCATCATTGTCACCTTCATCAGCGGCTTCATTCTCATCATTATCAGTAGCTTTCTCATCATCATCATCATCTCCATCACATTGGCGTTCTGCATCTCCATCATTGTCATCACCTCCATCACTGTTGCTGGTCAGGCGCATGCTCTCCCTGACCCTGAAATACAACCAATGAGCTTGTCCCAATAAGTCTTGGAATTGATTGACCAGCAGCAAGTAAGCAGAGTCTGACCCTGAGAAGGTACAAAGCCTTGGGGGTATTCTGCCCGCTGCTGTTCCTCAGTGCAGTGATCTCTGTGCTGGTGCTGATGGTGCACACTGTCTGGCTCCTCCCCTTCACTGCCCTGTGGGCGGTACTGGAGATCACATGACCCCTCTCTGGCCCCACCCCTTGATGGAAGTCACACAGGTGATAAAATGTGCTTTTAGAGCTTTGTCTGGGTGTTATTAGTGTGGCTAATTTGCATAGGGCTGTGTTAATCCAAGCGTGCTGGTAAATATTAGCACTGGTTATCTGTGACAAAGAGGATTTGTTTGCACAGCCTTTCTCAGCACCCCTCCTCCTCCACTTGCACACCCCTGTGTTAGTGCTCTGAATTAACCCCCCTGCCTGGGGTGGGGCAGGTATCAGCACCTTCCAACCTCTAATTACAACACAGTCGCACACACTCACTCACACACCCACACTCCCTGTTTGATACGCACCACATGTACACTCTGTAGGTGACACACACTCATCCACACTCTCTTACACTCACTAATACACACTACCTGACTCACACACACTGACACACACACTCCCTGACTCACACGCACTGACACACACACACACTGCCACACACACATCCCCTGACTCACACACTGACACTCACACACTCCTTGACTCACACGCACTGACACACACACACATTCCCTAACTCACACACTGACACACACACACACACACACACACACACACACTACCTGGCTCGTAGACACTGGCACACACACACACGCACACACTACCTGGCTCGTAGACACTGGCACACACACACACACTCGCACACACTACCTGGCTCATAGACACTGGCACACACACACTCCCTGACTCACACGCTCTGACACACACACTCCCTGTGAGATCTGCAAGCTGTTGCCAAAGCTCTGCTGTCTCGAACCCTGTGCAGAACTCACTCCCAGTGCCTGTCACGAGGATGAAATCCCAGAATAAAGCAGAAGACATTAAGGCCATCTAATCTAGCTAATTTACCTAGAATAATTAAGAATAATTAATTTAATACGATGCCTTTCATCTGCAAGAACTCCAAAGAGCTTCACACACAGTAGGGGACCCACTTCATCCTCACTGAACTGCAGAACCACCTGGGTGACACTGTTCTGCACCTGCAGCCCCACGACACACAGATCAGGGGAGGAGAGAGAAACTGTACAAGACCAGAGTGGGGTTCAGACAGGATACTGGGGTGACAACCCCACTCTTACTACCAGCCCTGGGATCTGACCAAGCAGTCAGGACCTCAGTTTAATGTCTCATATGAAGGACAGCACCTCCTACAGCTCAGTGTCCTCTGTCCCCTTACTGGGGCTTTGGACTGGAAGTTCTGCTCCAAGAAGGAAAAGTGCCACCTACTGGTCCATCAATCTTTCTCTCTAGTCTGTATCTTAATGGATCTACAGTCAGGCGTCTCTAAACTTTCTTAGTGCAATTATTTTAGGAGTTTTGTAGTTGGTTGTTCATTTTTGTGAAAAAATATGTTCTGAAAAATCTGTATTGTAAAACTGAACACTATATATTTTTTTCCACCTGAAAAAATAAGTCACTTTAAAGCCTAACAACTCCTATCTTTCTGTCTGTCTCCACTTAAAGGCAGCAGGTGAATTTGCAGTCATATACCAGCTTCACTTGCATTTCCTGCCTCCTCCTGAAACAAACAAAGTAATTAGAGCAATTAGAGCAATTAACAGCACTGTGCAAAAAGCAGCTCGTTATTCCCGAGCCAGGGCCGTGACACAGCGAGCGCAGAGCTGGAGCACCAGTGTGAAGAGCTGCTGATAGAGAAACACCAGGACAATCTCACTGATTACAGAGAGAGGCGGAGGGGGAGAGAGGGAGGGGGAGGTTGATGGGAGAGGGTTGGGGAGGTGGAGGGGAAGAGAGAAGAAGAGAGAGAACGAGGGAGGGAGCAAGAGGGACAGAAGGAGGGAGTTGGAGAGAGAGAGACACAGGAGTGAAGGACACAAAGACTGGTGACTGAACAGTCAGGTCTGTCTGTGTCCAGTTTCTATGGCCAGGCTG